GACCGCGTGATCCTCACTGTGCCTGGTTGGAGACACTACAAGATATGGCTGCCAACCGATGTCAGTGGCGTTCTTGTTGTCAGTTTCTATCCAGATTTCCTGAACGGGTGTTTGGAGGTGTAGGCACCTCGGAATGATTGTGTTAAGCTAGCACTTAGTCCCTCCCCCATCCACCTTTATTCTTTTGTTTACAATAAGGCTTTCATATAAGTCATGGTTGTACGGCAGCGAAGCATCGGTGTTGAACACTGATGTCATGCTGTCGATACTGATGATTGTGACAGTGCACTCTTCCAGAATTGGATCAGTCCGTTACCATCCCTTAGTGAAGCAACCATTAGTATCGATCTGCTTTGTAAAGGAAAACGGTAGATGCCTGCTTTTCTCGCCTTCAGTGGATTGAATGTGGAGTTCATCCACGTCTTTTTTAAAGAAATTCATCTTCACCTCTCTACTTCATTCAGCTGGGTATGTAACGTGAGCCCTATGATTAGTAAAGCCTTAGTGAGGCTGACGCTTTAGGGACAGTTTGAAAGGCCTACCTTGTGACTCACATATCTCTTGACTATTCTCAGGCTTTTTTCATCAGGCGGTCGTTACCCTACTTGGTTTGCTCCACTAGGATATGCTAGTGGTAGGAGAGGCGTCTTTCGCTGTGAAGTTGTTTTGTAGCGAACACGAACATCTCATCTGCACAGAGTTTTTGAAAAGTGAACATTCTCAAGCGTCTTTTTCAACTTTCCTGGGCGTTCATTGTATACTAAACAATAATAAACAAACACCCCAAAGTTTTTCCATAATTTCCGTAGTAACCTTTACCTTCCATCGGATTTGGGGCCGGAGCTTGGGCATCTGGCTACTTGCATGCTTCAACAGTAGTTGGTAGTGTGAGGAGATTTGGGATTTTTATGGAGATTTCGTCCTGTAAGTGAAGCCAATCTATGCTGAAAAGCCGAGAAGCTTCTCGGCTTTTCAGCATAGATTGGCTTCACTTACAGGACGAGATTTCAACAGTAGTATACGCCGTTACACTAGTAGTTACTGTAAAAGCAGAAAAACAAATTTTCAGAAACCTTGTAGTCAATTAAACCCAAATGGTGTCTCTGAATGGCTTCATGAATTTCTGTTCAAATGCTCCAACACTCACGCAATAATAGACAGTGTACACTGTTGTTGCCACGGTCTAGTCTCTAGAGTCAGGTTCCCGTGACCTTCCTCTCGTGCGCCTGGCGGCTAATCAACGTCCGTGGCGTTCGTGCTGAGTTTTTGTGCACATCGTCTGACTGATCGTTTGGATGCTCATATACCTCAAAATGATCACAGTAGTCGAGGACCACGCCTCTTTCCTGTTCATTTTCATTGTTGAGTTTAGTCACGCGTTTGCTGCTTGAGCAGACCTGTTAGTATTAAAAAGCTTTTCAGTGACGGTACTCAGATGATCTTCGTCATCTTATCATCGTGCCATTTTTCCGTACTTTTCTGTCATTTCCGGCACTTTCACGATATAGTTCAATATCGATTCACTTGAAACTAGTGTCTCACTCCGCCCTCCAAGGTGAAAGCCACAGCAAACTGTACTTGCAGAATTGATTACACATGCTCGTCGAGTTATGACCACAATGCATATAGAATCCGCCATTTTTTACGTTCACGAAGATGAGCCAGCCGCTTGTGCTTCATTGTTTCGTGGATGGCCCATGTTGCTGGTTGTACGAACGCACGTTTAAGATCAACCATCCTGTGACAACGCCAAACAAAATGAATTTTTCCATCGAACGCTCGAGGAAGGTTTATTCGGCTTCTGCTAGACTGCAATACTACGGAAACAGTAAAGCTGCGCACTACTAGTGAAGTATTATTCCTGCNTCCTGTTTGGATTACGATGACAAACTAATTTGGTGGGTTCATTTCACGCGCAGTATCGACAAATCACACAAAGGTTCCATATTTTCAAAACTGTCAGGGTACACCAAAGACTGCGCAGGTTGTAGTAAGCGAGTACTCGTGCAAGACCACTTTAGAGATAAAATCCTAGGACAGATCTCGTTTTAATCTAATTAACGCACTCAGGGCCCGTTGTCTAAATTCAACTGTGGAGCTAACCAGGACTTCTATATATCCGTATCGCATCACGATGGATTATTCACTCGTACTCTGATAGTGAACGATACATGCGGCTTTATTTTGATGTATGGAGTTATTTGTCAACGGAAAACTACAATCAAATGTACACGTCTAGCGTTGTAGAGTTGAATTCCCTGAAGAGGTTTAGCGAAGCGCAGGACTATATACACAATCAAAGATCCCTAAAAATGTACGGTCCATATCTCAGCGCGCATACTAGTTGTTCACGACCCATACGCATTTTTGGCGAACAACCTGCCTTGATTTTCACTTAGCTTCGTCTGGTCAGCCCAACCGTGCAGGTGATTACTCATTGCTGCAGTTTCGTGCTACTGGAGTTTTGCGAGTAGTATAAACACTGTGCGCCTTTCGTCAAACCACCACGGTCGGTCTCGAGTGCCTTGTTCCACAAGCTAGCAGGAAATGGTTCACCGAGCGGAGCTTACGGTCAGCTGACACTCAGAACCTGTGTCGCAGCGAGACGGATAAATGAGTCCGTTCATCTCCGCGATAATCAATATCGACTACAATACTAGCAATAAATACTGGTGTTTAATTGCCATGCAGCCGCAACGAAAGACGCGGGTGGAAGAGCATTGGCGGGGATTTTTTAGAATTGGCCATTCGTTCCTATGGGGAAGGATCAAGAACAAGATACGTACGAACGTATTTTTACATGACATCGAAGTAAGGCACCATCAGTGGGTACCAACCCCGTCTGTAAATGTCACTCAACCTTACAGCACCAAACAAACCCTGACTAGGGGTGCTCTTCTATGGGACCGGTTACCTGCCGTATTCTGTAGAGTTTCTAACCAAGTACAAGGCGAGCCACATGGATCCCATCCAGAAACATGAGTCCTTTTGGATAAACAAAAATACCTTTTGGATAAATCAACACAACAGTGTGCAATGATCTCCAATACGGCCTCTCCAGATGAGAGACCACTTTTCAATAGACGAAAAATCTCCCTCCTCCCCAAGCCTGACCACTTTAGCAACCAGTTAAGTACTTTATGAAAGAATGTAACTGACTATCCAAACTCTAGGTTGGCCCCGGTGAATTGATCAGGGTTCGCACTAACGCACATCTCCCCATAGTGCCCGTAACTTTTAGTTCCTTTATCAAAGGACACGGTTTTTGACGTACTTTGATGTTTCAGCGATGCGAACTAAGAGTGCTTTGCCAACCAAAAAAGACCAGCTGTGGAGTGTTTATTGGATTGTCAGCGCATGATGGTTGAGCTTAGCAGGACAAAGTCATAAGTTGGATTCACCAGCACTTCTAAAATACTTTTAGCCGCCAAACATCCTATTGCTCATCCGAACGGAAGGTCTGATTAATACCAAGGTGCGGTTGTGCCCTTCCTACGAAAGTCCAGAACTTTCGTTTTATCTACAGGCGCTTGATTTATTTCCATGTTAGACTCTTAATGGAGACTACCGTCGCTGGAGCTCCTAACAGCAGTTCGGACCCCACCCGAATCACCTCGTCTGTCGGTTATTTTAGATTTTGCATCGCATAAAATTTGGTTTCCCTAATCTGCACCGGGAATAGAACTATTCCAAGATCAATCACCTTTATTTCTTATGACATACTGTGTTGTTTGGCACTGTTTCATACCACAATTTGCCACTATTTCGGCCATGGCAACCACGCCGTAGTCGTTTGCCTCTAATTCCTGTCACCTGGATCATCACGTAAACTCATATCAGATTCTCCGCGGTGCATCACCTTTACTCCCCGTGGCTGACTGAATCAGTGTCTTGATGCAGTCTCGTGCTCTGCTCTGTCTAGGCCATGATTTTCATCTCGCTGACAGGTCGCGTGAGCCAAAAGCGCATCATTGACTGTTGGTTTGCGGCGCACAGCTGGTTATAGTTTATCAGTGGCCAACGTCGTTCCTGGAAGCACTGTCGGTTTAAAGTGATGTCACTGAAATCAGCACTCTTCACAGGAGTTGATAACCAGCCAGTAAATGCCAGTTTTTTTTCCTGCGGAGCAGTGTTTGCTTCGCGCTTCTACGGTAAGCAGTGTGCGGTTTGGAAGTATCGTTCGCTTCCAGGAGAGCTCTATTCTTGGGGGTTCACGCTTAGCTAAGGCCAATGTAGTACAGTCTGAGGTTTTCTCGTTTGTTTTATTCAACCGGCAAGCAAACACCTGGAACACTTATCTGTCATCGTAACCATCATTGAGTTTGGTGAAGTCGTAAGTCGACCTAGTCGGTTTCATTTACTTGTGGTTATCATTAGGCTGAATTCGAAGTTCTGCTACCTAACCTGTCATGCTAGAGGTGTATGCAGTGTTTTATCAGTGGCTTGTAATCGCTGGTAAGTACTACCTGATGAGCCCCAAAAAGGGCGAAACCGGTCGTGGACTGTCGACGAATTTTCAGCAACCTTATGACTAGTGCATTACAAATGTACATGTATCGTGATTTCTCAAATATCGTAACGACTGAAACATGGGGCGGCCTGGTGCAGCACATTCAGTTGCCTGGAAACATCACAAACGAGAGATTCAGCTGGGTTCCAGACGAGTCTCTCGAAAGACCAAATTAGCTTGCAAATGAGTGTATTTCGCTGAATATCTTCTTGTTTGAAAATCATTGGGCACAACATTCAGCATGTCTGGCACATGTCCCTCCACCATAACCAGCCGCTTGTATTTGCTGCCGAATAGTTACGTGAGTTTTGTGAAAAGTTTGGAGTCAAAACTCCGTGTAGTGAAGTAAGATGTGATAATCCGTAGGTCAGTTACGTGAGTTGTTTGTGAACTCGTCGATTACACATTCTTCATGTTGACTTCCCGATAGCAGTCTAAAGATGTCTAAGATGATCCAGAGAGTATCTCACTTTTGTAACGCTTTCTGAAGTTGCTAGTGGGACATTTTCATATTCCTGCCAAGCCTCCGTACGGTTTTTGTCAATATTTTCCTTAAAAACCTGGTATAATTTATAACACGAAATATACAGACGAGAATTCTCCAAGTTGCACCAGGAAGAAAGCACTAGGCTTGACGATGTTCATTTTCAATCATCCACTAGGGATAGCAGTGAGCGAGACTCGGATTTTGGGCCGTGGATTACGCAACATGGGTAACTCACTTTGGACTACAATCCATATGAATGTATGTTACGAAATATGAACAGAACTTTGTGCCTCTATCTTCCCGCAATCACGTTTCGGAAGTTTTTTACACTCTACGTTATCGGCCTGACTTGCGTCTCCGAACGTCTTTTCTTACGTTGCATCCCGACTCGCACTGAAAATAAACTGGCTTCTCTTTCGTTGAGTTTCGTTTTACAGTTTCGTGAATAGCAATGTTGTTATTCGAGGATGGTACACACCGTTTATCTTAACCGCCACAGTGTTGGTTTCTAATCGCTGTCATTATCATCCTTTGGTCTGATTGTGCGTGTGTAAGCGGGTGTCAGGCCTATCCTGTCCACTGACTCGCCTGTCTCCATGTCCATCGGTCTGTGACGTGACCTTGGACGCATGATCACGCCACTGAGGTGGTATCGACCACCTTTCCACACCAGTCGTCAAACCTTTGTGTCAATACCCAACTGGCTGATCTATGTGTTTTGAACAAAGCTTATGATGTTCGCTCGTCGGTCTTCTGTGTATGTTTGTGCATGTACGTGCACCACGTCACGAATTTTGTGTGAATGCCTCGGGTTTCAGTCATGAATACGAGATTCCATGACCAGATTTGGTACACTGATAACAAAACTTATGTGGAGGCAAACCGGAACACCTCAACAAAAACTCAACAAATTAGTGGGTAGAAAGCCTCGTGGTAAACGGTCGTGACAAAATCGAGTAAACGTTCAGCGCTTTGGTGTGATCCGTGGTAAGTTGCGCGTAGGTTTGGTCAATCATCCCTTGGGAGCCACTTTTGACTGATTTTAGGTAAGAACTTTACTCCGACCCCCCTTGAGGATGGATACAGCGCTTTCTTCCGTGGTAGAGTTCCATATTGCTACGAAGTTTTTGTGTGCGGCTCCGTATTCTTCGTGCCAACGCCATACTAACGCGCTTTCATTCTAGACATAATATGAACGAAATACAATTAGTGGTTACGTTATATTCTTGGGTTACATAAGGGACTGTTGGGCACCTGTTTTATTACTTAATTGAAGGCAGTGTCAGCGGCAGTATGGACCGTTCCAGGCTAATGATGGCGGTTGTATCTTGCCTCTCCTCCAGAATAACCAACTCACCCCATCCAGGGCTTGTCGCATGACGTTTGACCCACACCTGCATCGATTTTGGTCAAATGATGCCCGTAGAAACCCCAGGTATCCAGGTCGCAAGCAGTAAGCCTGTTTTCACCGCTGAAGAGCACATTATCCACTACCTCCCTTTCATAAGTGTCGCTGTGCCTGTCGGTTCGCAATTTCCACCACATCGTTTCGCGGCGAGCCTTTAGGAGTCGAAATTCTCCCGATGGTGATCGTCGCATTCAAGCGACAGAGTGCATCGTTCATTCATTCGAATGTACCCACTCCCGTACCCATCCACAGAACGTTACGGTGCCTGCTGAAGGTTACTTGGGTTCGTGCTCAATAATTTTTGGATTCAGGAGTTCGGATCATTTACCGTACCCCGTTTGCTGATTTTATTCGTTGACAGAGCCATTCCTGTAGGGGAAAAAATTGCAGACTCTAGGGGAATTCCGGCGTCTGACAAGAAACTCGTAAGAAACCATTGCTGTGGAACAGAGGGTGTCTGTCTTTGGGGCATCGGTGCACTGGCGTTGCAGGATGAATATACCCAAGTTCTTAGTCCTCCTCCTCTGCCTAAATATTCGATTATTCGTTATTGGTGGTTGTGATCCAGCTTCTCTTAGGAGTTCTTGCCCTCTGTGATGTCGAAGGATACCAAGATGTTGAACTGTGGGCGAGATGGCCCAAGTGATTGGAGCGCCAATTTACTGACCGGAAGGTCCGTGGTTCGAACCCGACCTCTGCCTCTCGACTTCCCCTGTCTAGGCTTGGGCAACCTGGCAGTATCCCAGCCCTCATGCAACCTTCGGGTGGCATGGCAGTTAGGCACCGAAAGGGTGCTACAGCTGAATGAAGATGTTGAATTATCATGTCGTCAGCAAAATGTCCGTAGTGCCCGTAGTATTGTACATCTTTTGTCCTCTATATGTACTCTTTTTAATTGTGGCTTTCGCTTTCACTGTTTTCCTGATTCTCCATAAATGGGATGGATTCAGGATGGACCTATACGCGTTTATAATTGCTGTTTGTCGGTAGCTATATTGCGGAAGGTGAAAACTTGCGAACGGAGGCATGTATAGAATGAAGGGAAGCAGAGAAATGGGGCCTCGGTGCATTTCCCCTTTGGGATTTGTGACACTTACTGTGGGTGTGGTATTAGCCCGCAAAAAACTATCACACCTATCACAACTGAACTTAACACAGTTTTGTAGCTTTTCACACTCTCTTAGATCGACTCTCATCACGTTAGGCCTCCCAACAGGGCAACCAACTTAAGCGTAGCAAGTTCGTAAACGATCTCCGATAGCTTAAGAGTAAGGTTCCGTGCGTCTCTCCGAGTCAGATTCAGCATATTTACTCTTCTCTTTATAGCGGAAACGGATTTTTGGTGCTCGCATCGAACTAAAATTCATTCGAGTGAACTTTTTCACACGCTTTTTTGACATTCGGTTTAATACGCTTATTTTCGCTGAGTATTTCTGAGTAGCATTCACTGCATATTATTTAAAAGCGAGATGAACACTTTGTCCTCGATTGGTTCGTGTTCTGAAGATTCTGCTCTTAACCGAGGAAGATTGATTTGCGCGTGATAAACGAGAGAGGGTTCCAGCTGAGTTTCGTGTCAAAACCAATTTGGTATGCAGATGAGTGTACACGTTGATTTCCGACAGATGCACTTATTTGCATATTAATTTGGTTTTCACGGGGGACTCAACTGAATTTCTTGCTTACACTTGTTTGAAATAATGAACACAGACTGGCGATCGATACGTACTTCAAACCAGAGATATTTTTTGAAGACGAAATCCAACGTCATTGGAACGTCACCGGAAGTTTACGTAGAATTCACGAGCCCAGTATAGGTATAACCGTTTTCAATAATTGATTTTTTTTTCAAACTTAAAGTGCTTTTCTCGGACAATAAGGATTCCAGATACGGCATTGTTGTATAATCACACTGATTTCATAAGAATGGATATAATGATTAGCAAGACCAGGAAGGCATCTGGAATAAGTCTGCTTTGGATAATAGGACCCCCGGTATTTACATCACATAAGTCAATCGTTTCAAGGAATGCATTGTTTATGATCTGAAGCAGATCTGGTAAGAAGTCACTCCCTTTCCAAATCGAAAGTTCTCTATAAGTCGGTGGGCAAAATGCATTTTGTTGTTGTTCGCTTGTTCCTGAACTTGTGGGCGTTGGACAAGGAGTGAAGAACTCTCTGGAAGCTCTCCCTGAAGTAGTGGTCATTGTTTCCACATTTATTTTTTATTGATGATGGAATGGACGTAACTTGAAATGTCTTTAGATTCCTGGTGTTACGGTGACTAGAACCATTTCAATCAGAACTACACATAAAAGCTCGTCCTCTTTGTTGAAGGATAAGAGAGTATATTTCGAACGAGTTCTGAAACCTGTCCCAAGTTTTATGTCTTTCAAGTGAAATCTCAAGTAACGCTTGTGCCAGACAACACTGCAGGCTGAAAAACACAGTCGGAGTGGTTTCCTAGGCCCCTACATAAGTTTACAATTATAGATCCGCATGGTTCTTGTGAGTAGTTTTTTTTACCTAGATTACCTGTTGAACAGCATCCAACAATTGTATGTGAGTCGCAAATATTTCCACACAGTTCTGTGTATCTTGTCTCAATGAATACCGGGAAAGTTGGGCTCGCAGGCTTGCTTGTGCTGTGTCGAAATAAATTACGTTTCCTACTTTATTTGATTCTCCACTTCACAGTCTAGCGTTTTCCTTGTGTCGGATGCCTGTATAGTGTGGTGAGATCGTTGTGTTCTACGCTGCTTTTTCCTGTCAACAATGATACGGACATAGAATGTGTGCGCCCTAGGTAGCTACTAATTCCTCATCCTCATCATCAGTTGTAAAAAGCCACGTACTTGCCGGATAATGGTTTCGTTCGCCGATGATTTAGGACGGTGGGGTAGATGACTACGTGTTGGAGGCGATAGCTGGTCTAATCGATGCGTAAAGACCGGGGTGTCCACTTGTTATGCATTTCGTCCCAGCTTGGAGCTCACTTTCGCTGCTGACTATTTTCGATCATGATATCTCCTCTGCGTTTTATGGGATGAGTGATGAACATTATAGGTTGGATTAAAGAACGGCACAGCGCATGTGGTGAGAGCTCTTAACCTGCCCACTCTCGGCTCACCCCTCCTCCGGGCTCCTCTGAAGTTGGATCAACCTTGCTTCGTATATCAGCAGTCAGTCAGTCAGAAAACGTTTCGGAGCGATCGAGAGGTGATCACTTGAGAAGACTTTGGGGATGTACGAACTGTTTTCCAAACTTTTTCCCAGGCAAATGTTTTGGCATGTTGTGGCGCGAACTAATCCAACTAAGATTCAGTATCGAAAGCAACTAGAATGACATTAAAGTCGCGGTATTTGCACACAGCTGCGATGTGTGAACCAGAGTTGCCCGATCCTTAGGTGGGATTGATGATCAGGTGAACTCTGCGCATTCCTAGTCGATTAGTAAAACTCGTGCAGAGAACACTTCTGGTGTGAGTGATCGATTCTCAACAGGAATAATTTTCATGGATCCCATTCCTGGAGTGATCATATTTTTGAAGACCAATTTTGCATCTTGAACTCATCCAGACTGTGGAAATCAGATGGAACAAAGCTATGGTAGGTATCCTTCATGTTCACGTTTGACTGCATTCGGATGCCCCCACTGAGTGGCAGTGTTCGGGGTGCGCAGTGTAGACGCTATTGCTACCGCGGCGTCTGTCTGTCTGTCGCACTTACACCCTTATGAGGCCGACTTTGATTGGCTATCGGTCAAACCCGTCTGTGATTGGCTGGCTTGGTGTCAATAAAGGTAGGATAGTGTGGCTGACGTCTGCCGTGGATTCGTTCCTCAATCCCTTATCGGTTGTTCAGACGCATTGTTTACTAAGTTCCTGGGTAGTCAAATGGATCACAGACTGACCATGCGTTTTTCCGTACCCTCTGTGTTTCAGCCGTCCGTGCCACGTATAACGGTAAGTTATCGAAAGTTTGATCAGTCACAATAGAGGTTAAGAGATATTGTCTTACTTTTAGTGGTCACTAGCAGAATTGTATGCCGTTCTTCCCTATTTCCTGTAGAAATCAACGCTTAACTCGTTGAAATCCGACAACATCCTGAAAATTCTACGCTTAAGCAGTTTATCAATCCTATTTATTGAGCCCTTCACACTCGATTGAGATTACTCATTGAACTTTGTTCTCTATGACACATAGACGAGCACATTGTTTTTTTTAACGTCTGTGCCTTCGCAAACGTGAACGCACTTTTAGAGGTCATCAGGTCATTCCGAGCTGTTCAGAAATGCCTTTTTCTCCTCAATTTTTGCTCACTTTTCGTCCCGTACACCTGATTTTTCAAAGTTATCAAGACTGAATTATTGGAATTGATTAATGCGTTAGCTTCCGTTGTCAAGATGCGATCAACTCTATTCAAAAACGTACTAAAAGCTCCACAGAGTAGGCTACCTTGCAATCGAATTCCAGAACACCGGTATCACCTTGTAATCCATTGTGAGGATTTTCCTCAGGTAACAACGCGCCCAATAACAATCAACCGAATTCTGTAGGAATAGCTCAAACATACTACTCCGAAATAACGCAATAATGCTTACACTGCATTGCGACATGTTCAAATGTTGCCGCTCAAGGAACTCACTAGATCGGGGCGAGTTGAACCAAGTGGTTAGAGCGCGAATTTACTCACCGGAAGGCCCGTGGTTCGAACCCGACCTCTGCCTTTCGACTTCCCCTGTCTAAGCTTGGGCGAGCTGGCAATATCCCAGCTATCATGCCTCTTTCGTGTGGCCCGGCAGCTAGGCACCGAAAGGATGCTACAGCTGAAACATCGCCTAACTTTCCCTGCGTCGTGTTTACACAATCCGATAATGTAATCGATTGTGCCTCTCTCTTTTCCACCGTGTGCGCGCTCAACTGCTGTTCGCACATCGCCCGGAGTATTGCTCAGTGTAGCTCGCAGATGTGGTGACACTCAAGTTGCTTCGTTGAACTCACCAGCCCTAGCCCTAAAGAGCCTAGAAACTTGCTAACTAAAGGGATTTCCAAACCGTTTAGTTGGTTCAGCCAGCATTGTAACGTAAGCTGACGGCGAGATCTACTTAGGGTCACTGAAAGCTTCGGAAGTTATCGATTTTGTCTATAGCTACCAATCCAATGGTTAGTTTATCCTTTGTGATTTCGAGTACTTTACTCCGGATTAAAGCCACCCACGGTGATTGAAACCTGGATTTACAATGAACTGCAGTTAGCATTGTGTTTCTTCGCCAGGCTCAGTGGTTAGAGCGCGAATTTACTGACTGGAAGGTTTGTGTTTCGAACCCGACCTCTGCTTCTTGACTCTCTGTCTAGGCTTGGACAACTTGGCAGTATCCCAGTCTTCGTGCTTCTGGTGGAATGGCAGTTAGGCAACAAAAGGGTATAAGGTGAACGAAGCCTAGGCGGAATCTATGGAGATACCGCGGTTGATTTCGAACCACGAGCCTCCCGGTCAATAATTGCGCACCTTTACTACTAAACTTTCTTGGGGTCATTGATAGAGTATACCTTAGCCGACCAGAATCGTTTTATTTGTTCCGTTTGATCGAACTAGGAATGCACCATCAATAATTTTGAGGTTGATTTTTCAAATTTACAGAAGGAATAGGAAATAGGTGTGTGGGGGGACACCGGGAATACAGACCCCGTTCCTATGGGACCGAAAGCTTGTCAGGCCGTGGATGAATTAATAATTGTGAGGATATGAAGAATTTCACTACGGAAATATTGATCTGTCCTCCTTACCCACAAAATCTTCGGTACAGTCCCCTAAGATGCTGGTAGGTACACAACAGGCGCAGAACAGTATGCATGAAACAACCGCGTTTGGCGCTGTCATTAGCCACGGAGCACACACCACCGTGTAAACAGTACCGGCCATGACCGGTCAAAATTGTGTGCAGGAACGTGGAATATACGCGCATATACCAAATGTGCATCACAGTAGATGTCGCGCTAGTCAAAGAGTATTGTCATTCCAATGATGGTATGAATGCAGTGCGCCAGAATCTGCAAAACGAGTGCCAAAATGGTACCAATACCCTCAAGACGTGTTTTTCTAATCAACTACAGGCAGGTGTGGTACTAGCATAAACTTCGGATACCCATGACACTAAGGGCCGTCAGATAAAGCGCAACCACCTACGAGGTTGCTGAAAACTGTTCGACATCCCACGACCGGTTTTGCCCTTCTTGGAGCTCACAAGGTTAGGCGTGGTTCCCTGAGTTTCCGTCACCCTCTTGATGTTCTATTTGAACCCCAATTGGACAGATTTTGACAAGTACACTGGTTTGTATATCAGCTGGGATTTCGCGGGGCACTCAACTCGATCTCTCGTTCATGGTATTCTTCAACTGAACGTGCTGGACGAAGATTGCCTCATATTTCATTCGGTACGAGATATCGCAGTATCTTTTTTCACAAAGTAAACTATCTGATGAGCCCTAAGGAGGGCGAACCTGGTCGTGGGCTGTCGAAGAGTTTTCAACAACCGTATGAGTAGTTTCCTTCATGAAAAAGCATATTAGGAAATGTCGAATGTCGTACCAACTGAAACACAAGACGGCCTTTGTGCAGCACATTCATTTGAGAAGCACCATAAACGAGGAATTCAGTTGAGGCTGCCGTGAAAACCGCTCAGTATGTAAATGAATGTATTTGTTGAACATCACTCGTTGTTGGGCCTATCGTGCGGCAGCCTTGTCATCGTCCACACTCATGCGTAATCAAAATAGGAGTCTATACACAAAGTCAATCAATGATGGGTCTTTTCCTCATTTATTCGACTGTCTTGCAAAATATCCAATGCCGGTTGGTATCAGATTACTGCGGGGAATCATAGAAAACCCTTAGAGAATACTTTCCTGGAATGTTTAGAGTGTAAGGTTGATTGATTATCTGAATATCCACCACGTATCTGATGGGATTACGTTAACGACACGGTTTTGGTCATTCGATGGGGACCTCGTGGTGACTTGTTTACATTCTTCAACAGTGTTAGGCTAAGTGCTTAATCGTTCAGATGTATAACACCTTCTCAGTGCTTAGTATTTATGCCACCCGAAGAAAGCAGAAGAGCCTGGTCAAGCTGAATTGGTAGTCCGCGTTTTCCACATTCAGTGAGCGGCAGCTGCCGTGTTGCGAGTGCGTAGCATAACTTGTCAACTTGCGAACAATAAAAGTCCCAACCAAGCTGAAACAAAACATTTTCCCCTCTTGGTTATCAGCTGAGCGCCTATATTCACATTCTGAACCTCATGTGTGATTTATCCCCTTTCTTTTCTCCTCAAAGTGGACCGTCTCACACAGAACACGGGAGAGTGTGCAATCTGTTTGGAGGATTTGGCTGAGGGTGACTTGATCGCGCGGCTACAATGTCTGTGCGTGTACCACAAAAAGTACGTCCGTCCTCCCGCACTCCTGTGGTCCCAAATCGGTGATGCTCTAAACTGTAAGCATTTCAATCAGGTGAAAAATACTTGGAACCGATTCAGCAGTCATCATTTTCCAAAAAGTTTGGTGGCAATCGCTAGATTTATTGCTGGGCAATTTTTCGCTTTTGACACAAGAGCTTCGTCTGACCAAGGGACTAGGTTCCGAGTTTGGTCGAGATTTAAGGTGGAAGGAGAACCAATCAGCTAAGTCAAGCTAAATCTCTGTTGGGTATCGGCCAAGGGATTTTGGTGTGTTAGGGTGATTGAACAAGTGGTGGGTCGATGGAATGTGTTTGGGTCCAGCCTAGGGTCAAGTTCTGGTTCGGTTCATTCGATAGTCCCTCTGGAACCTCATTTGAGCCTTTTGTCCGTCTTTGTGGATGAGCTAGTGCTAAGATGGTTGTGTGTAAGAGGGATACTGTGACCTTTGGTCGTGTTGGTTCTCCTTCCGCCTTAAATCTCGACCAAACTCGGAACCTGGTCAATTGGCCAGACGAAGCTTTTGTGTCAAAAGTGAGACGTTGTCCAGCAATAAATCTACCGATTGTCACCAAACTTTTTCGAAAACGAATATAAGCATCCCAGTTTTAAAACGCGCTTACCTAATGGATTTAGTTCTGTTGGCCTACTATTCAAATATTTTGTTTCAATTACTGATTGGATGCAAAAACTTCCACTGTTCCTCGCATTATTTTTTTCAATGTTTTCTTGGCATCAGTCAAATTCCCAATGTCTAGTCCGTCGACTGAGTTAATCCTGATAAAGTGATGGAAACTGCTACAAGCTAACTAGAAATCGGTCATCCGTATCACTAGAGTTACGCATACATTCAGTGGGTTAAATGCCTTTGAAAAATATACGATTCTGACTACAGTATTTCGCACACCTCTCAGATAGCCTAAGTATCGGAAGGCTCAGTTGGGGGTTTTGAACGCAGTCAAACCGTAAATGGTCCGTTCCGACTAGAAAACATGTCCACTTTTGAGTGATGTCCATATGCAGTGGGAAATAGTCTGTTGCCAAGACTTTCATGCCTTCAAATGACTGCGAGTAGAATGTACTAGTTGAAGCATCTATCCAACCGATCAGATTGAATTTCATGGATCCTTTCAGGATTTCTGTCTAAGGTTATTATCGTGGACCAATGTTTAACGCCTGGACCATTGGCTGTACGCCGTAGCTGTTATGGGGCAAGATGGTTCAGTGCTGAGGGCGCGAATTTACTGACCGTGGTTCGAACCCGACCTCTGCCTCTCGACTTATTCTTTATATGCTTGGGCAACCTGTCAGTATCCCAGCCCCCCTACTTCCTTCGGTCGACATGACAGCTTGGCACGGAAGGTTGCCACAGCTGAGCGATTCCATTTTTGAATAGACATTATAAACAATAATAAAAAATTTAAGAATAGCCGGAGATCAGCTGATCGAATAGCTTCTACTGTTGCTAGACGAGACGGCCCAAGTGGTTAGAGTGCGAATTTACTGACTGGAAGGTTCGTGGTTCGAACCCGACCTCTGCCTTTCGACTTCCTCTGTCTAGGCTTGGGCGACCTGGCAGTATCCCAGCTATCGTGCAACCTTCTGGTGACATGGCAACTAGGCACCGAAAGGGTGCTACAGCTGGGCCACAAGCTGTGATATGATGGGGGGTTTTGTGGCCAGTTGCAATAACTGGTTTAAATGCATCTGAAATCAGTCGTCTTTCGCCATGTGTGATCGAATTCGTTATGGATTTTGGTTTGTTGTTGTTGTCCAACAGCCAGTGCGATATCCTCGCCACAAAAGCTCATTGATATAAACGAGTCTTCCTTCGAGACCTTTTTGCATCAAAGAACGGAACTTTTATCTATGTGTACCAGTCCAATTTCATCCACTGCATTGCTGCGGTTACGAACGTATATGTCCATATCATACCGTATCGCGCTACACAAGAATACCTCTAAAGTTACGAAATCAGCGGCAGGTCGGAATCTGAAATCCTAACCCAATCTTCGTCTTTTCACGCATACGTTATTACTAAGTTTCTCGAATCAGCGGACAATCGTATCGTGTCTCACCATAATTATCCCGTCACCCACTACGGGTAAGTATCTACTAGTGACCAACACTCACCAATCCGTCAATGTTGGCTTACAAAACAAACAGGATGTGTGTTTTTGCAATTCATCCCTCTGGCATAATCTGATTGCCGACCGGGGGCCACACAGACCAGTGGATTGTGATGTAGGAGGTTTTCATGCCCAACTCACAAACAAAGCCCTAGCCTAATAGTGTAAACGCCCGATCGTAAGATGTTGCCTATATGCTTGTTGACTTTCTCATTCGGAAACGCCCGGTATCTTCTTTCAAAGTGAATCACATTGGTATCAGTGTAAACTCACAGCTGTTATATCGTTTGGTTAACAGATGCATTGATTCCTGGTTCAAACGAAGACCGGTCTGTCCTGTGCATCCTGGGGACGACTGACTTTGAATGTGCGGGGGGGGGGCGTGTACGTACGGTTGGAAGGAAACCCGACCAAACAACAACAACAACATCCAAATGAGACTAACAACAAACGATCTTTCATTCAGGCGAGGTACCAGTCTGTTGTTTGTCCGGCGTTGCATTCCATGATGATCGCCACGACACACGCTCCCACCAACATAACCCGGTTTTTCTCGTTGTTGCTACTTTCGCCCATGGGCTTTCCTTTCCCGTGTTTTTGTGTATAGAGAGAACCACGGTAGCGTCGCTTTTTTCTCTCTCTCTCTCTCTCTCATTCTCCCCGGTTTCCACTATATGAATCGTCATTATCGTCATCATCATTTTGTTGTACACCAGGACGATTTCTCCTCTTTTGAACTAGATTACTATGAAGAATGCTTATCTGATCCACGAACAAACGTTTTTTTTTCTCTCTCTCTCTCTCTCATTCTCCCCGGTTTCCACTATATGAATCGTCATTATCGTCATCATCATTTTGTTGTACACCAGGACGATTTCTCCTCTTTTGAACTAGATTACTATGAAGAATGCTTATCTGATCCACGAACAAACGGTCAGAGTTAGTTGATTCGTCCTTGCCAAGTTTGCACTGTCACAGGCCTCATTCATCACTCCGAGAGTTTTTCTGGTTTATCCCGGGCACTTTCCTTGCCCTTTTTGATGCACTGTTGTCATGACCCTCCCATTGACCCCGTTTTTATATTTTCGTCCTCTATTAATTTTCCTTGTGATCAGCTACGTGGGTGTATTCCTATCAGACCCTTTCCGATCCTGAACTTCGCCAATGACGTCTACGCAGTATCGGTTGGTGCGTTTCTTTCATACCTCTTCCCAAAGATGTCGGGGATCGATTTTTGTTCCAATTTCCTTTTCCACTGAGTTTCTACTCGACCAACGTGACTGATTGGTTTCTTGATTTTATCATCACGGTAACTATCAGCGCCTTGCTTTGGCGCAAACACCAGAATAAACAGATAAGGTCTCGATTGTTTGTCTTTTTTGAGTAGCAATAGACATTCATGCCTTTCCGTTGCTTGGTTAGAAACACGAATTCAGCAATGTATTGGAAAGTTGATGGAAGTTTTGTTGGTTGAGGAAGTCGTCGTATCTCCCGATTATAGAAAAAATGTTTTCAAGCCAAATGCGGAGCTCGGGAACCGGATAGAAGTCAACTGACCATCTGTCTGGTCTCGTGATGCATCCTGGTGCGTCGATTTAGCGATTGTGTGGCTTAATGGTTGAGCTGCTTTGCTAGCTTCACCGTGAGCAATGTCTGCGAATTCCCATCACTGTGTATGGGTGTCATGCATTCATTTCCGTCCCATGGCAACTGGATGCTACGAGTGATGCTGAGGTAGATTCTGTGGGATTTTGCCATTGGCCAATATGAATTACTGACACACAAAAACTTTTATTTTTTGAATAATGGACTGCTTACATAATTTGAGGGGTTTAATAGTGAAGTTTCATCCACACAGCTCGTGTAATCCAAGTAGATACCTCTAGATTGGCGGTGTACTTCCCAGTAGTACGTAGACCATGTTCCGATTCATTTAGTAGACGATCAAGGATTATGTTGTATGCCACTCACCTCGATTTTTCTCGAATCGAACTGCTGTTGGGTCGGAGTATAACTTTCGTTCTTCATTTTAGCTGAACGCGCCGGAGCGCATTTCGGGCATCTGGCGGTTTGCCCGAAGTTCAGTGTCTTTCGCTCCATATCTGTTAATCGGCCATTCGTTCTGCCCGGCGTGTTCCAAACCATTTGAACAACTCCATCCCGTCATATCATGACCATTAGATCCAAACCGCTACGGATCACTCTCATCGTGGCTGCGGCTTTGTTCATCGTGATTGCCTTGTTCACGCTCATCTTGGTGCTCATTTTCGACCGCCTGTTTCTCGCATTACTCGCCCAGGTAAGAAGACAACAGCTCAAAGAAATTCTTTCTGTGAATCCTGGACGCATTGCATGGTTCATCACGATCTTGCTATGCATTCAGATCACCTGATGTCTTCGCCTTTTTTTATCTGCTTTTCGAAACTAAACGCCATCTCAGTTCGTGGGTCTTGCATCTCTACCCACTGCAGCGTAATCGTCAGAATATCTCCAAAGCTCTGGTTTTTCTTATGGATGTCTGTCCATGTATCCAAGATGAACAATATTTTTATAATGCACTACTCATAGGGTTGCTGGGAATCCGTTGAGTAGTAGTAGCAACCTTATGAGTAGTAGATTACAAAGATACACATGGTGTCGCGATATCTCGAATATCGTAGCGACTGAAACATGAGGCGGCCTGGTGCAGCACATTCAGTTGCCTGAGAACATCACAAACGAGAGATTCAGCTGGGTTCCAGGTGAGTCTGTCGAAAAGCCAAATTAGTTTTCAAATGAGTGTATGAACAATATTTTCCTTATAGATTACTTCCCGTTGTTGACCGCCCCAGTCGCTATCTACACTTATTTCTCTTCACTTAGAAACGTGACCGTTTGTGTTTTAGTGGTATGAATTCAAATTTTAAAGACAAGCACTGAATTACATCGTCCATCTTTCTTGAGTAGCTGTTATCGACCGGTCCTGTTAGTCGCTGTTTTCTACTCCAACATGATAAAGCTTACTTAGAAATTCGCATAAACATGCAATAGCATTTGCATACACACTACTGTGTTTCTTAATGAACACAACGACTGAAGTTCGTTGAACTGATGGTATGAGGCGAATGACGGAACTCGAAGTACACACCCCCCCCCCCAACAGTCTACCACAGGCACTCAAGCCCGGGCTCGATATACCACCTGAGAAACATCGAGAGGAGCAACAGTTGAGTCCTCCTAGTGCATTGCAAATGTACTGGAATTGGACATTTTAATTCCTCGGATTAATCCAACTGAGCAGTACTCAGACGATCAGACTATCGCCTCATCGTACGACCAATCTATAATGCGTTTCACGATGATTCGAATGAAGCTGGTGATAGACCGCCGCAGATTGTTCTTTTGCGTCATGCTCAAGACAAGTTTGATAGGAAGATTAAAATTTCCCGCTCTGTACGTTTTTTCGATGCCTGTTCCAAGCCTAGGTCCTATGTTTTGGGCAAACAGCTTTATACCGACCTCTTCTCACGTGATACTGCAACACTAGGTCGAAGTCTATTTCGATGTTTAATCAAACGGTAATTCCCCCATTCGGACGTCACACATGATTAAAATTGTGGCCGGACTGAAAACATGAACTAGGCAGGGCGGCGGTGAGAGAAAGGATAATGGTTATAAATTGGAAAGTTTTCGGGACTAGTGCTTCTACTGGTTGGTTCTCGCAGCCATGGCAAATGAGTGGGTAACGTTCTACGACAAAATATGTAGTACTTTTCGTGGCAGGCCACGCAAGTGCCTACTCTCACGGCAATATGTTGACATTGAATAGATTTGTCCTGTTATAGGCTTCCGACACAGTTTCTGCAGTCAGTCCGTAATTCGAAGGTACGATATGTAGTGTTTTGTCCAGTTACCCACCTCAGTACCACCTGCATTTCCACTACCTGTTTGTCTTTCCAGAAACTTGCCATCTCTCCCAATTCACCGGTGTACGAAAGCTGGCTAGTCCCTACAGTGCCAATCTACTTTAGTGTTTACCTACTAAATTTGACTAATCCAACCGAGGTTCTCGCCGGCGCGCGACCTCATCTACAAGAAGTTGGGCCATATGTGTACAGGTTAGCTTTCAAACAATTGCTTCTTTATTGCCATCCTGTCACCCGATTATCACATGAATGTTGAATTTTCAATACGGTTGTTGGCGTCCGTTTTCCCCTAAATCTTTCACAAATGTGTTTACATGACCACTGAAAACGGTTAGACTTGGTAAACATTCGCACAACTGTTATTCCAATCGAAGTCGTTACCAGCCCGAAATCATCATTGTCAACTGTAATAACTGCGTACTCGTAGTACAGTGGTTGTAGCTGCCGCAGTTTCGTTCACCGATGATGTGGGGGGGGGGCGGGTAGGTAGCTGCGCATTGCAGGCGGGAGATGATATATTGGTGCATAAATCCAGTACTGTCAAGTGGGGGTATTGGGAAGGGAGCTACGCATTGAAGGCAATAGCTTGGATGCACGAGCACCATTGAGGGCGCGACTGGGCCGTCTGACAATGTCCTTAGCCATTGATGTGGCCCGTCTCGGGGTCCCCATCCAGGAAGACGGCAGTTACCAGCGCAGCTGAGTTTGCTGGTAATGGCTTTCACACTTGGCTGCGAAGTCATTGTTTGGCCGCCTCTGGCTCGTTTCCACCCTTCACGTGGTTGTGCGAAAAGAGCCCGAAATATGCATAATTTTTGTTTTCATAAAGGAAACTACCCACAAGGTTGCTGAAAACTCTTCGACATCAACCTTGTGAGTAGCCTCCTTTATGAAAATATACTGCGATACCTCGAATATCGTGCCAACTGAAACATGAGGCGGCCTGTATGCAGCACATCCAGTTGTAGAATATCATGGACGAGAAATTCAGTTGAGTCTCTTGTGAAAACCAAATTGATTTGCAAATGAGTGTATTTCTCATAATTTTTGTTGTTGCATAAGTGGGGTACTGAACCCGTTTAAGCCAGATAACTGTTTTGACATGCCTATCCAGAATGGGACGCCAGTTTGAGGTATACTATGTTCTGGGTCGCAGTGAGCTTCACCTTTGCCGATGGTAATTTCTCAATGGCAGTTGCGGTAGACGTGCTTGGCTTACTACGTGTTCCAATAAAGAAGTTTGGCAAACGATGAACACAGCATAGCCTTCTGCACTACGTGAATGGAGGCGGTTGCTTAATAGTACTTGCAAGCCTCTGGAAGACGACTCATAAGTGTGGGTTGGTAAAATAATCTGTTCCACAAAGGGGAGAGAATTTTTGAACCAAATGATATTGTACAAGATAACTTCTTTTGGAAAAATCTTCCCTGCGTTTGATTGGGATCATTATTCCGGTCAGAAGCATACGTTTGTTTCGTGAATTTGCATGTAGCCTACAAAACTAGATACAAGATTACCACATTTTTATACCATCTAAAGCCTAATTTTCACCACACAAAACCGGTTTTTTTATCACTCTCAGTATAGATTCTTTTTCATAAGCTGCGAGAACTTCCACGGACGTTTAGTAGAACACCTGGTGAGCAGTCTGAAGCATGTGATCCAGTACAGTTCTCATTACAACAATTTCCAACTCTGATATCTAGGTGTCATCGTCAACAACTGAGCGTTGATTACACATGGGCGATGAAGTAAACTCTGCAAGCTCTTTATTACCCAATGTTCGAACCCTAAAGTCTTAGCCGTCAGTCGAACTGCGCGGCTCAAGTCGTGCCGAGGGTGTGTTGGGGGCGAAACGTGTGGTATTTATCAAACCGGGGCGAGATGGACCAAGTGGTTAGAGCGCGAATTTACTGACCGGAAGGTTCGTGGTTCGAATCCGACCTCTGCCTCTCGACTTCCCCTGTCTAGGCTTGGGCGACCTAGGAGTATCCCAGCCCTTGTGCCTCCTTCGTGTGGCATGGCAGCTAAGCACCGAAAGGGTGATACAGCTGAACGATTTTATCAAATCGCCTGTTGGAACCAGGTATCTGTTCAGCACTATATCTACCCTTCATTCCCTCCAATCCGGATAGCACAGGCAAGGGAAAAGGTTTGCATGTAGCTTACATTAACTTTGCTGATGTAGACAACATTTTTTGGTTAGCACTCACTGCAGAACAAACCGAGGGTTTGGAACCAGGTGATTAATATCATTCACCAATTGCTACATTCCGTGAAAAGAAAAGTATATTTACAGCCTTTTTGAGGAAAACTCTAGGGATGATGTGTGGCGACGGCTCTCAGCCCGTTTCGCACACGTACCCACTTTTCATTCTGTCGCCAAAAGTCACCTTTCTGATTTTTTCTAACAGGAAACAAACGCGTGCTTGTACAATGGCCATAGCCCCCACAGTTTCGTTCAATGATTCGTCTAGGTGGGTAGTTAGCTGCGCAGTGGAGCCCGTAGCGTCAATACAGGGTTATCAGTAGACTTTTCATTGAGGGACTAGGAGGAGAGCTATGCATTGAGGACAATAGCTTGGATACACAATCTCCATTAGGGACGCGACTGAGCCATTTCTGACAGCTTCCCGGTCTCGGGGTCTCCATCCAGGTAGATTGCAATGACCAGCTCAACTGATTTTGCTGGTAATGACTTTCATACATGTACGCGGACTCCCGTTTTCAAGACACGTGATGTCTGCTTCTATTCCTAGAGTAGTAACCTACCTCTATTCTCTGGTTATTTCCCCCTCCCTCTATTTGAATGTTTTCCGTTGCAGAGAAAGAAGAGAACGTTTTGATGTTCAGTTTGGTAATGGATCAGAGTCGCACACGGTCCGCTTCAAGTATCGTATTTTCTACTATTTTGACCGGGAAAAGTCCATCAACGACCCATCCACAGTGCGAATCAATACACCCAATCTGTACTTCCTGGTACGTGAGTGTCTTTTCGAATGTGATCATATTTTCTTATACTCTCCGTCCCCGATGCCTAAGAAGCAAACTGTACACCCTACTTCGGTGCGCGGTGATTACCAGCATATTTTTTTCTAACCCCTATCACTCGTATATAATAGGGGATAGCTCTTTGCTGTGCCCCTGATCACCTGAGGTGGGTCCGCGTTGTAATTCTCGACGTGTCTTGCTATTTACTAGCCAAAAGCCCACTAGTGTTATTTCGCATGTTCTAACGGGCTTTTGGACTTACATCTCATAATCGTCAGCTGTCAGAACCGCGGAATTGTCGTAAGCGGTTATACCTGCCACACAGTGTCCTGTAACACATATAACTAATATTTCCCTCTAGTGATTGTTGAATCCTTGACGAAGCAGTGAAGTGATGCTGTTGAGAAGAACAGGATTCACGAACTTTGAGGGTTTCATCCTCCTCATAAGAGCGAGTACAGCAGAAAGCATGTGGGCGATAAGCGGATGAAACAGTTTGAAATGGGTAAACATGTGGGTGTGCATTGACCCTTCAGGTTTTGAGTGTCAGCCGCCTCAAGGCGTACCTGAATCAAGCAGCTCGTCGGAATTTTCCAGTCAGGTTCACTCACAGGTCGCAAATTAGCAGTTTAATAATCACATTGTCTTACCACTAAGATGTCACTATGCTGAGTGCTTTCCGTCCAACCAAATGATACCTTTTTCTAAACCTTTTGTTATGAAACAACCATATTTTCCGAATTTTTTCGAGTTTTTGAACTTTGTATGGGGGCCAGGACTCAATCGTGATCCATACGCCAATCAACAACAAAAATATCACTGCAATTGTTTGACTGACCGCAAAACTCTCAAAATGAAGATGCCATGTGAGAAATGTCGAGTTTCGTGCATCGTTTGACACTTACTGAACGGAACTTACTGATCGGAAGTTGTGTGCTTCAAATCCAACCCCGGCATCCGAATTGTCTCGTCCTAGGATTAGACAATCTGGCAGTATCTCAGCCCTCATGCTTCCTTCGGGCAGCATGGCAGCTAGTCACCGAAAGGGGTTACAACTGAACGGCTGCAAGGGGTCTCTCACTGCTTTCTAACACTACCGACTGGCTGACCAGTTCCAGTTATATATGGTTTCAAGGACATCATTGAAATAGCGGATGCGATCGAAAACGTCCGTACGATCGTACTACTGTCAAAGCGTAATCGTCCACTCGAATCTGACTCTGATGAGCAATTAAATTGACGATTTACTTTCCGGTGCCCACCCTAGAAAGAAATGTCTATATTGAAGCAATCCTCTCGCTACATAAGACATAAGAACACAAGCTCTATTTAGCGGGTCAGATCCTGGGGACACACTGATTCTTTTTTTGTCAGAACTTACCGATTTACATTATCGTTGTGACCATGCTGTCCTTTTCTATCTTGGTCTTTCTAAAATAAAGCCCCCTGAAATCAATTTCTGTTCCAAGCGCCATCGAATACCTCACCGTTGGACTGTTCGACTGATGTTCGTCCGTGGAACTCCTGGGAGTAGATCCGTACGCTCCTGCGTTACTGTGTCATGTTTCCATGAGCGAACAGCTAGGTGTGTTGTTGAACGAGGACAACTATCCTGCATGAATACGTCAAAGTGACGACTGGCTGGTGTATACAGCTCAAATGCAATCGACCGTATGCAGAACGACCAAGACTTTTTGGAATGACGCGGGGATCTTGTGATAATGTTACGATGCGCGGAATCGATTGACGATATCAACGGAAATGGTGTTCCACCACACCAGCTTCACTATGTCCCTAGTCTGTAAAAAGAATCTACTTCATATAGTTCAGTCTGAGTACGACCGGTGACAGCTGTTTGCGGACAGCGACGTTTTTTCTAGCCACCATCGTTGAAGCCAGTGAAAACAGTTGGTTCTTTAAGACAGAGCTTCCATTTCTTGAGTTGAGTTATGAGCCCCTGGCTCATAATAGGCAATGCAGTGGGGCATTTTTTAAGAAACGGCCCTTCATAGGTCAGAGCACAACCTCGTACACGGAAGTTATACCTTTCGATGGTCCAGGGGCGAGATGGTCCAAGTGGTTAGAGCGCGATTTTGCTGACTGGAACGTCCGTGGTTCGAATCCGACCTCCGCCTCTCGAATTCCCCTGTCTAGGCTTGGGCGACCTGGCAGTATCCCAGCCCTCGTTCTTCTTTCATGCGGCATGGCAGCTAGGCACCGAAAGGGTGCTACAGCTGAACGGTTCTCATTGCAATAATTCTCAATAAATCTGTTTTTGCCTAATTCCTTTATGGATGTTTGGGATGATATAGTCTGGCCAGATGCTTTTTCCTTCGGTGAAATCGAAGCCTAAACTTTCATTCATTTCCCACACTCTCCATTTATCTCATTCTGATAGGCTATGACCTCGAGTAATATGGGCTGGCTCCTCGGAGATGACGGGCCATTCATCACACTTACTGCAGAAGAAGTGATGTGGGGCTACACTCCGACACTCGTCAATTATCTGAGAGTCTTCCTTGGAGACAAAAAAGTTGGACTTTTTGCTACAGTACGTCCCCTTGTTTGTTTTTCAACCTTAGTTAGTTTTACCCTTTTCGGCTGGATTTCACACCACTTTGTTAAGGTGACCGTTTTGCCATAGATTCATTCTAACTCCACGAATGATGAATTCCCTATAAAAATGGCTCAGGATGACAGTGCTAGTCCGTGAATGCATAGCTTGCGATAAGACCGAATCAATTACTCACATAAATTAGTGGTTAACACGGATCTTATTCATTCAACGTTCTTACGGAGTAAAAACGTAGCTCGAGTCATTTAGAGAAGCTTTGATTGGCTCGAGCGACCCACTCGTGAACGTGGCTATGTCATGCTGTCCCACGCATCCTCCGTGTCGTCATCTTTCACAGCAGTAGAGTTTAGTTGATTTGGACCGTTCAGGTACTGGCACTGTGAAGTGCATTCCATCCTGTCGGTTGGAGGTAGGTTGCGAGTCCACTGACCGTCCGAATATATATTGGAACGATCATAACTTTAACCTCCCAATAACGAATATCCACTATTCGGTCGTTGCTATTCGAAGGTGAGATGGTCCAAGTGGTTAGAGCGCGAATTTACTGACCGGGATGTCCGTGGTTCGAACCCGACCTCCGCCTCTCGACCTCCCCTGTCTAGGCTTGGGCAACCTGGCAGTATCCCAGTCCTCGTGCTTCCTTCGGGTGGCATGGCAGCTAGGCACCGAAAGGGTGCTACAGCTGAACGGTTCTCATTGCAATAATTCTCAATAAATCTGTTTTTGCCTAATTCCTTTATGGATGTTTGGGATGATATAGTCTGGCCAGATGCTTTTTCCTTCGGTGAAATCGAAGCCTAAACTTTCA